ACGTCTTCTGCACCTTCCTGGGCGCTCTGAACTTCGAGCTGCCCTTCGAGGCGACACGAGCGGCGGGGCTGTACGCCCACCTCTTTGTCAACGGCGGCAACGTGGTGGGACTGGGCCCGGCCTGCAGGGAGGATGCCGCCGCCTTTGCGTCGGGTTTCCGGTGGTCCATGGTGAGCCGTGCAAATGGGCCTCAGAGGGAGGGGGAGGGCCACCGATGCCCCTCGGGCGGGCATCGTTGCGCCAGGCAGGGTGTACGCTCATCGACTTGGGACGAGAAGTCTCGTCTGCAGCCAGGCACAAGATTCGATGCCGCGCGCCAGTGGCCTTGGATCACTTCTCTTCCACCCGCGGGCCGCGTTTCGCAAGTGACCATCGATGCTGACAACCCATGGCCCCCTCTCCCCATCGTCTGTCCCAGGGCGCGGGCATCGTATGGCCGACCCGGGTGGGCAAGCTGGAGCTGAACCTGACGCGGGTGGTCAGGGCCCGGGAGCACGACCGCGTGAAAGCAGGCGTCCAGTTTGGCTTCTCTCCCCCCACCTTCTGAGCCCTGCCCAGGACTGTTGCAGCCCCGGGCGGGTCGTGTTACATGGAAAGCAAGCAGGCCCGCCGCCCGGGAGTCAGGGGCCCAGCCCACGATTGAGGGTGGAGACACGGCGGACAAAGTAGCTGACCTGCTGGAAGACGTTGGGTCTGTGGCTCTTGCTCTCTGTGAACTCCTGCGTCGGAGGAAATGGCCGCAAGGGTAAGGGTGGATGCACGGAGGGGAAGTGAGCCGTGCAGTTCAGGACATGGTCGTGTGAATGCATCCACGCCTGTAGCTCCGCTGCACAGCCCTCACTGCGACGTACGGGGGACATGTTGATGTACTGCGCGCCCAGTCCGATGCCGTGGCCCCAGCCGAGCCCGAGCCCCACGCCGCACCCGCCACCTGGGCGGGATGAGGGAGTGTGTTGCCCAGCGAGAGAAAGGGTGCAGATGGTAACAAACGGGAGTAAATACGCGTGATTTCGCCACGCCGACAGGCTTTCATAGAGGATGCAAGCCTCCATGCCCTGCGCCTCTCCTGTTGCACCTCCCCACCCACTCACCAACGCCCAGCCCAGCGAAACCGAGGTTGGTCCCGCCAAAGCCCCAGCCTGCGCAGTTTGAGGTCGGAGATCGTGATAAGAGCACATGCATTGGACTGTTGCACCGGGCATCCATCCTCAGGATCCAGCCTCACCGATCCCGAAGCCACAGCCGACCCCGAGTCCTAGCCCGGCACCATTCCCATGGAAGGCGCGGACTCCCATCCACTCTGGATCCGATTCAATGGGTCATGTGAACAGAGAAATCAAAATTGGGATGACTCTTGTACATGACACAGGGCATGCCGCGCTGTGGTGCACCCCGGGTGGAACTCCTACATCGTTCATGATCGCAGTTCGAAGAGGAGTCAGCAGGCCCAGCACCCTGCGCGCGCGAATCCCTAATTGGGAAGTGGGCACAGTAGAATGCATGCAGAGCGCGAAGTGGATAGAATACCAATAATAACAATCTGGGTGTGCTAGGATGCCCGACTAGAGGCCCGTACAGAACGCTGCTGGCGCACACTCGCCAGCTGTGAAGGGATGGAGAGTGGGTATGCGGCTCAGCTGCAGGAGATCGTGCAGTCCTGGGACTACTGGCAGCTGGAACGGGATGTTACGGACGGTAAGGGACCTATATCCCAGCTCCCAACCATCCCCAAGACCTTTTCCAGCGTCCAGGTCGGTGGGTATGGTGGGTGGGAGGTGGGAGCGCAGTCTGTCTTGCATTTGGCAGGTTACTGCGCGACTTCTGCATGGTGGGCCTGAGTAACTCCGCCCATGTCGATGTCCATGGTTCCAGGAATGAATGATTGCAACAGAGCCTCGTTATGCACGACTGCTGGCCAGCCAGAGCGCCCTGCCACACACCCCTGCAGGCCTACACGTCCACCTTCCAGCCACTGCTGCTGGAGGAGGCGGCGGCCCAGCTCCTGCGAGGCCAGGATGAGGGCAGCGTTGCACTGAGTCAGCGCTGTGTGGTGGCGGCATGCGAGGACAAGGGTGAGGGGCGCCTGCTGCTCGTCCTCACTCTCCCCCCGGGGGTCAACAGCTCCTTTTCAGAGAACGATGTCGTCCTGGTGTCTCGAGATGACCCACAGGTGCACGGGGTTGCAGGGGCTGCAGCGGTGAGGGCTGTAGCAGGGACCGAGGTCTGCAGGCGATGTCGTGGGGCAGTCCATCGTCATCCCAAACGCGGCCAGACGGCGCGCCGCCGACAGGCACCGAGCCCTGCTGTGCCATCATCCGAGGGGCTCGCTGACCAGTCTGGCATCCTCCACATCCCCTGCCGTGCACTGCAGTCGGAAGAAAGCACGGACGAGGTGCACCATGCCCTGGGAATGGTGGCGGGGCACGAGGGCGAGCAGAGTCTGCGAGTCCGGTTCAACCTCTCCGAAGTGGCCCAGGCCGGCAGCGCCGCCGGGACGGCCAGGCAAGTTGTGGGTTGGGATTGGTGATGGATGTGGCCATCCCCGGTGCTGCAGAGTAACGGTGCAATGGGTTCCAGCGGCATGCCGTGCTGTGCATCGCCGGCGCTCTTGTCCTGGGCCCGCGGATACTGGGCCCCGCCCCGAGCGTGCGACCAGCCAGCCCACCCAACCCTCCATGCATTCTCCCAACAACCTAGGGTCAAACGCATGAGCGCGCTCCTGCCTGTGGCCGGCTCCGGCTGGTGGCTCCTACGCCTCGCCAACACCAGCACCATCCAGCGCGAGTGGGCGGCGGTGCACTGCATGGCCCACTCCCCACTGCATGACGTCCTCCTCTCCGCCAAGGTCGGGGCTGATGAGAGGCTGTACTGTGCTGAAGGGCTGTATTGGGGTTGGGCAGCCCCTTCTCGTGTGGCTCCACATGTCCCAGCACTGTCCTTCATCACTCAGTACAAGCATGACTGGCAGCGGGTCCCCCCAGATCTAACCTCCATCCCGCATCCCTCGCCACCCTTCACCCGAAACCTCCCTGTGCAGCCCAGCTCCTCCGGCGTGGCGGCCAAGCAGCTGGAGGCCCCGCCGCGCATGCTGGAGGCCATGGCCGAGTCCTACAACGCCTCCCAGCTTGCGGCAGTGACGGCGGGGCTGGACGGCACCTCCCTGACGCTCATTCAGGGCCCGCCAGGGACGGGGAAGACCAAGACCATCCTGGGCCTGCTCTCCATCGTCCTGCACGCCGCGCCACGCGGCGCCTTTTCCTCCCAGCGTGCGCAGCCTGCCGGCGAGGGCTCCGCGGCGCAGGCAGGGAAACCCGAGGCCCGGGCGCGGCCAAGCCGCAGCCTGACCCCCGCCGAGGTGCACGCCACCTGGCAGGCACACTGCCCCTGGCTCACGGGCGCACCCGACCCGCGCGAGGCGGTGGTGCCGGCGGAGCTGGCGGACCCCAGCGACGACTACGGCCTGACGCGGCGCGCGATCCCCTTCCGCATCGGGAAGTCCGCGGGCATCAGGGCCCGCGTCCTCGTGAGTGGTGATTATTCTCTGGGGTAGAAGGGGAAGGACTGTATATTCTGCTGGGGGTCCTGGGGGCTGCTGGTGGGGCACACCGTGCCTGGTAGCTGAGAGGGATGGTGAGGCTTCGCGAATGGTCAGCTGGGGATCCCCATCCACCGACCCACCCAACCGCCCCCCACCCCACACGCCGCCCTTTCTCCCGGCCAGGTGTGCGCGCCGGCCAACTCGGCGCTGGACGAGATCGTGCTGCGGCTGATCACTTCGGGCCTGACCGACAAGGACGGCAAGGCCTTCACGCCCAGCGTGGTTCGGGTGGGGGTGAACATCCACCACAGCGTGCAGAGCGTGGCGCTGGACACGCTGGTCACGCTACGCCTCGGCTCCGAGGCGGGCAAGGCGAGCTGCGGGCGGTGCAGAAGGAGGATGGTTTTGTGGGGGGGCCGAGGGTGGTGATGTGATATGACTGGGGGATGAGGTTGCCTGTTTGCTGCACCATTTCCTCGTGCAGCCCCGGCTCGCCCCTGCAGCCCAACAAGCGATCCAGCATTGTGAGACGAAGGCCACCGCCGTCTTGCCCAACCCTCCCTCACAGGCGTCGAGCGCGTCGAGGCTGGAGCGGGACCGAGCGCGCATGGCCATCCTGGAGGAGGCCAGCATCGTGTGCACCACGCTGTCCTTCTCCGGCTCAGCCTCCTTTGTCAGGCTTGCGCGCAAGTTTGATGTCGTGATCGTCGACGAGGCGGCGCAGGTGCGGTGTGCGTGACAGGGGATGGTCCTGTCTGTGCTGCATGTTGGGGCGTCCGTGGAGGGCGGCTGGTTCCCATGGCATGGTGCATGATGTTGCAAAGGAAGGGGCCGCTGCTCTGCTCCGAGAACATCGACCTGCAGTGTCACCACTTGTCTCAACAGGCAATACACACTCAGGCTCGCTGGTCCCTGGTGTGCACGTGCGCAGCCCTTCCCCCACCCCCCCTGGCCCCTCACATTGCCCCTCCCCAACGTGCAGGCGGTGGAGCCGGCGGTGCTGGTTCCCCTGGCGCACGGCGGCGCGCGCCAGGTCTACCTGGTCGGCGACCCGGTGCAGCTCCCGGCCACCGTGCTTTCTTCTCGCGCCCTGGCGCACGGCTACTCGGGCAGCCTTTTCAGCCGCCTGCAGAGCGCAGGGTACCCCGTGCAGGTGCTTGCTGTGCAAGGGGAAGAGCGGGGGGGCGGGGGTCTGTATGGAGTATATCTCAAGGATCTTTCGCAGAGATGGGAAGGAAAGGGAGCTGGGTGTTGAGGGAATCGGCGCGTAGAGCTCTGGTGACCCCCGCGACTGCGGGGCGCCCGCTGCACGCCAGACCGCACACTTGAGTTCGCACTTCACGACCTGCCTCTCCCCCCCATCCCCCCCCGTGCCTCTGTCCAAGTCTCACCCTCTTGTTCCCGACGCCCTCTTTCCTAAATCCAAGGTGCTGGACACTCAGTACCGCATGCACCCCGCCATCCGAGAGTTCCCCTCCGCCACCTTCTACGGCGGCGGGCTCAAGGACGGCGCGGACGTCGCGGCGCAAACCAAGCGCGCTTGGCACGCCTCCCCCGCCTTTGCGCCCCTCGTCTTCTACGACGTCCCGGGGAGGGAGGGCACCCCCGCCGGCAGCAACTCCTTGGTCAACACCACCGAGGCGGAGGTGGTGCTGTCCATCTACCGCGAGCTCATCCACCGCCACCCGGAGCTGCGGGGGCGCCCCGCGGTGGCCGTCATCTCTCCTTACAAGGCCCAGGTGTCCCTCCTGCGCCGCCTCTTCCTCGCCGCCCTGGGGCCGGACATGGCCAAGACGGTGGACATCAACACCATCGACGGCTTCCAGGTACTAGGGGGAGCGGGGTCCTACGGATGTGCTGTCATGGAGACTCGATCTGGTGGGGAAAGGTCGTGGAGCAGGGGTTCCAAGGTGTTCCGGGGTAGTCTTGTGCTGCTGTGCCCTCCAGACCGAGGCAAAGACGCCAAGGATCCCTGTACCCACAAACCTGGTCCCAAAGAATCACACGCTCACCCGCCTCCCCTCCTCCCCAACACGCGCTCCAGGGCCGAGAAAAGGACGTGGCCATCTTCTCCACGGTCAGGAGCTCCCGGCGCGGGTCCATCGGCTTCGTGGCGGACGAGCGGCGCATGAACGTGGGCCTGACCCGAGCCCGCTCCTCGCTCCTGGTGGTGGGCAACGCCGCCGCCCTGGCCCAGGACGGGAACTGGGGCGCCCTGGTCTCCGTCTGCGCCACCAAGGTGCTGGGTGGGGAGGGTTCACGGGGGTGGGTCGCTGGAGGAAATGATGGCAGGATGTGTCATTGGCCTGCTGCCTTGTCACTCTCTGTTGCACCGGGTCTACCTTGCCCAGCCAAGGGCCTGCGGCATGGTAAGGAAGGCTGTGCCCCCTGCCTGGGGAAGTCAGCCTGAGCTCACACATCGCCATCACCCCTCTGCACCTTCGACCGCCAGGGCTGCCTGTATAGTGCCGCACAGCCCTACAACGAGTTTGTGGGCCGCGTGGCGGAGGGCCAGGTGGCCCCCCAGGACCTGGCCAGCCTGCAGGCGCGCGCCAAGGGGAAGAAAGAGCGGAACGGACCCCAGAAGATGGAGGTGGACCAGCCCAGGCCGGCCGTGCCCGAGGGCGACGACCCCTACCTCTACAGCGACGAGGAGGAGGGCGGGGTGGGCGCCCCCGCCAGCAAGCTCGGGAGTGTCGCCCAGGGGGTGTGGGCGAAGCGGCACGTCAAGGGGTGAGGTGCAGGGGCGTGTGGCGCCACCGCACACCTGCCTGCCAATGAGGTGAGAGTGACGCGAGCACTTTGGGAAGATGAATCACTCAACGAGTCTGTTGAGACCCATCCTACGTGGAAAGATCGTTGCAAAGTGCTCATGCAGGGGTACCCTGCCGTCACACTCATGCAAGTCAACGTGAAGCCGCTGCTGTTCAATAAGCGTTGTGTTGTAAGCCTCGTGGCACTTCTGGTCCAGGTGACAACCATGCTTTGAAGCACTCTCAGGGGTGTCCACAAGCCAGCGGTCCGTCGTAGAGGGAGCTGGTACCGTCTGTTGCATGGGCCAGCCCCTCTGTACAGTGCACACCAGGCCAAGGCGGCCACACCAGGCAGCGCGAGAGTGCTTACACCATGGCTCACACGGCACTCACGCTCTACAGGCTCCACACCACACCCCCTCCTCAGGTGTCGCGCTCTGCGGCTGCGGCCACGAGCGCGTCGCCCGACCGCTCCGCGGCCCCTTGCTTCTGCTCACCAGCCCGGTCCTCCCCCGCTACCATCCCTGCCGCCCCCCGCTGCCCCTCCAGCGCGCTCCGACAGAAGCGGTCCAGCCAGGCGTTCATCTCATACAGCGCGTGCATGACCGACTCGCGCGCGCGGTAGCCGTGGCTCTCGTGCGGCAGCACCACCAGGCGTGTGACGCAGCCGTGCCCCTTCAGCGCGGCGTAAAAGCGCTCCGACTGCAGCGTGAAGGTCCCCGTGTTGTTATCGTCGGCGCCGTGGATGAGCAGGAGCGGGCGACGCACCTTGTCCGCGTGCATGAAGGGCGACATCTTGAGGTAGGTCTCCGGCACCTCCCACAGCGTGCGCTGCTCCTGCTGGAAGGAGAAGGGGGTGAGCGTGCGGTTGTAAGCCCCGCTGCGGCCCACACCACAGGCGAAGAGATCGGGGGCGTGCGCCAGCAGGTTGGCAGCCATGAAGGCGCCGTAGCTGTGCCCGGCGATGGCCACGGCTGAGGGGTGGGCCACGCCGCGTCGCACCACCTCCTGGTGGGGTGGAGGGGGGGTGGGCATTGCTTGGGGAGAGGGTCGGGTTGGACAGGTGTGGGGGGATTGTGGGAGTGCCGGGGGAGTTGCAACTTGGCACTCGGCCGAGCCACAGAGGGGGCCAGCGTATCGCAGGCATCCGTGTGGAACCTTTTCCAGACATGCCGAGCAGCACTATCGCCACTTCTCAAGGTGCCCTGCGGCCCCTTCACCACCAGCCACGAATAATCGCACCTCCACGGCCGCCCGCGCCGATGCGGTCAGCTGCTCCAGGAAGGTGTCGTTGGGCTCCTCGTCCCCCTCGGCCACGATGGGGAAGCCCGGGCCGTCCAGCACCGCCCAGCCCCGCGTCAGGAAGATGAGGGGGGAGGAGGCGCCCACCGCGCTGAAGTGGTGGGGTGAGCGCCGCAGCTGCCCGGCAGCCGCCTTGTCCTTGTACTCCCTGTGAGCGCGGGGCAATGGGGATTCATAATCTGAGATTTGGCGTTGAACATGCGTTGTGCAACGCATACATACTCTAGCAGGTTAAAGCAGATGACGGACTGTTGGAGAAGAGGTGACATCCGAGTAATGCACGGAGGTCTTGTCACCCGAGTGGTGACGTGGCACTGAGCGTTTGGCAGGTGTGCTGCTCAACATACCGCGCCATAAACCTAGATACACTCAACCCAACACCCATTACCTGGGGTACGCCCAGAGGAGGCAAGGCAGCGGCCCATCCCTGTCCTTGTCATACCCTGAGGAAGGTGTGGACAGCATGCAGGGAGTGGCATGCATGCATGCGACGTCCAAGGTATACCCTCAATCATGGGATAGAAGTTGACGCCCAGTTTGACCAGATCCCCACGATAACTCCCACCAGCCCAACTCTAAGAAAGACACAGATGCATGGCTGGCTCGTGCTCTTTCTCCCACACAAGCAGCATCTCACCAGGGGGAAGGTAAAGCGTGGCGTTCAGTTCCACCCCATCGTCCCGCTTGTAGCGCACAATCTCCTGGGACAGGCCCTTCAGGGTCGGGTAGGGGTGCGGGAAGGCGCTGATGCAGCGCTCGCTGATGTCCCTCCCATCGTTGGCAAAACTTTTGATGTAAAACTGGGGAGGCTCCCGCTCAGACTCCCTGGGCAAGGTCGGGGCGGGTTGTTGGACAGGTCAGTTGTCCGTCCACAGCTGCCGAGTCGCCGGGGAACAAGATGCCAAGGTCTTGAGAGCAGGCCGCACTTCCTTAGCATATTCCATCAGAACATGCCGATGGGGAAGCCACCGGAGACACTCGAATCATAGGAAGCCGGATGGGGGAGGCCTGCCAGACGCCAAATTTCCCCCCGACTCTGAGCCTCCATCCGGCAAGCACTCAACCCAATGCAGCGAGTACCACACCCCTACCACCCCAACAACGCACCTGGTGGCCAGGATGCGCAGGCCGTCCAGGGTGATTGTCCGCTCGTCCTCATCGGAAAGAATGGTGCTGGTGGTCTCGAAAAAAGGGGGGCTGCTCTGCCACAGCCGGCGCGTGGCCTTGGAGTCCACCTCCAGCACGTCCAGGAAAGGACGACTGCCCGTCGGCCCGGCGCCGGAGCCCTGCAGGAGCAGCCGCCGCGCGCCGTCCAGCCTGGCCAGCACGTACGTGCTCCACCTCGTCCGTCGCAGCGCGGGCGAGCCCGGGTCTAAAGGGTGGCGGCGTAGGGGAGGGTTGAGGGATTGGGAGGCCTCCTCCCTTAGCCTTGCATGCCATGCGCTGCGAGTGGTCTGCCAGGACAATTACCCCCTTGTGCACCCGGGGGGTCTTGCCTGTGTAGGCATCCTCATAGTTGCGGTCAAAGAGGACCTGGGGCGCCGCCCCCCGGCTTCCCGGACTGAAGGTCGACACGATGCTGCGCCGCGATTTCCACTCAGACTCGTACAGCTGGACAGGGTTGGCGGAAGGGGGGGTTTAGGAGTTAGGTATTGTATAAATGAGTGCAGGCAGGTCGAGTGCAGGCAGGCGGGCGGTCACAGGCGAGGGGGCACAAATCATGACTGGGCAGTGGCAAAAGGGCTTGGGCCCCGGGGTCAATGCCTGAGCCTCCAGATCCAAGCCATGCCATGCCAGACAGTCCGACCACAAACAGGCGCGATCTGGTGGCCCAACCCCTCCATAGAGCGTCGAACAATATCATGCCACCCAAATGAGCCTACCAGCGCCAGGGCGTCGTCCCCCCAGACAATTCCCCCGCAGCGCAGGTTGGTAGACACCAGCGGCCTGGCCTCTGCTTCCAGGTCGCCCGCCTCCAGCGTGTAGACAATGTCGCGCGGCTCGGCAGCCACTGCAGGATCCCCGCCGTCCTGCATTCATGGGGTGGGCTGAGGATGGAAAGTATGCACACGAGGCGGAAGATACACACCCTTGTGCTCTGTAGCTTGACACATGGGACACCTTTGCGATACCAAGGACATCACAAGCTATGCGGAATGTTTCCAGGACCTAATACAGCAATCAACCACCTCCAAACCAGCCATCTCCCGCCCACCTGGCACTCAATCCACGCCAGCTCGGCAGGTTTGTCATCCCTCCACTCCAGATGGCGCGGCCCCTGCCGGCAGCTGTCGAATGCCACTGGAATATCCTCGGCCAGGGGGAGGTCGGCGATTACACGCAGGGGGGTGCCATCCCTGCGTACATAGTGAGAGGGAGGCGCTCGATGCTCTGGAGGCTTGTACAAGTTAAACATGATGGACTACGGGGGGGGATGTGGTGGTTGGAGTCAGGAATTACCAGCTGCGACACAGCTGGCATGCCATGTTTGGCCTGATGACAGCATGCGCACCGCCTTCTGCTAGACACCAATGGCTGGCCTACTAGATGAGGTGCCCATTGAGGTCCACATACCAAGACCAACCAGCTTCACCACCAGTGGCGGAGTCGCACCATTGCAGGGCTTGAGATGACAATCAAATCTCCCCCAAAGAGTACCTCCCCCAACCCTTGCCACGCTCCATCCCGCGAAACATTCACCACAAACTTACGCGCTCCACAGCTCGATGCTCTTGGGGAAGCGGCCGCACGGCACGGAGTAGGAGTAGGGCCTGTGGAAGTAGGACACCAGCAGGTACCGGCCGTCTGGCGAGGCATGGGCCCCCGTGTATTGCCTGGACGGGCCCAGTCGCGTGACAGCGCCGG